TAAGATGTGTAATTTTGCTGTATTATTGAGAGAGGTGGTGATCTATAAATAAAGTTGTTTWTATTCAGAGATGAAAAGTATGGTGAAGCTTCTGACCATTGTGGAGAGGCATACTTTTACTATGGAAAATCATTACTTGAAGTTGCCAGGTTGGTAATCTTTGCCTCCACCCCTCCTACAGCACCCCTTCCCCCTAAATACACACCACATGAAGCAACTGCCAAATAGTTATTCATATAGCAGTGGTCATTGTCCAGTTATAAGTATCTTTAAATGACTGACAATTAAACTGTGGCATAAAAGTTAGAATACATTATACTTTACTTTGATTGATCAATTAATAATAAATGATTAATACTGGATTCACACTGAATATTATTTTTCTAGGATGGAAGGAGGAGTGCTAGGAAATGCTTTGCAGGGAGGTACGATATTACCAATTATGATATTTTCATTGGTCTTTTTGTATAATTATTGAAGCTAAATATTTCAACAGTAATTTTTGTTTTGCAATATTTAGCAATTGAATCAAATGCACAAGAGAATGGTACTGACACAAAAGGAGAGAAAAGTGAAGGGAAATSTGAAGAAGAAAACAAAGAAAGTTCTGAAGCTACAGATCAAACACCCAAAGAAAAGAAAACAGATGATGAGAAAGCTAAAGAAAATGATATATTTGGTAATTACTTTATTTAAAAACCTTCATGAGACATGTGAACATATTTTCACAGTTATCATATATATTTGAGTGAAATGATTTATAATTGATTCAATTGTAAGTTCATGATGAAGTTGATGAAAGCGAAAAAGAGAAAATCAGTGCTGATGTACTGGATGCCATGACAGAAGGTGGCACTAAAGATTCCACAGAAGAAAGTGATTCTACTACACAAGATAAAATGACTTCTAAGGAAAACCAAGACAATGAAAATAAAATGGGGGCAACTTCTGAAGGAAAAGATAAAAGCAAGACTGACAAGCCTTCAGAAGTTGAGATGGTTGGAGGTTAGCGGGTTTTAACAAGTGTAWCGGAACATGGATAATGTTTGTTGGAGTGTGCTGTTCCTGTTCATTTTTTTCATTTTTTAATAGTAACATTAATTTTTCTCAATATTTACTGTGATATTTTGTGCAAACAATGTAAACATTAATGACGTTGTGAATTCTAAGTTTGTGAAATGGCTGTAAATATTTTGTTGTAAAAGACACAAGGCCAACTATTTATTTTCCACTTTCAGATGAAAAAAAGGCAGAAGATGCCAAGGAGGACAATCAAAAAGATGTAAAGAAAGTTGAAGATGAGGATAAAGRTCCAGTGGCAGAAGAATCCAAAGAAGATAATAAACAGGAAATGACAGAAGAAAATAAGGAAGAAAATAAAGAGGAAGGAGAAGAGGAAAATGATGAAAACAATGAGGAAGAAGAAGAAGAAGAAGAAACGGAAAGCATGGAAACAGGAGACGATAATGCAGAGGAAGCTGAGGTAATTACTTCACTGAATTTTGAATTTGAATGTATTTATTTATATACCTTTTTGTTTTTCTACACAGGATGAACCTACCTATATGGAACTTGCGTGGCAAATGCTTGAAATGGCTAGAATTATATTCAGCAAGTATGTTTATTCAGTCATGGTGTGTTCTTTGGAAAGTATTCATTTAAAATCTTCTATTTCCTGACTTTTTTTATTTTAGGAGAGACACCAAAGAAGGAAAGCTCATGCTTGGACAATGTCATCTAAAACTTGGAGAAATTCAAATGGAACAAGGTGTGAAAAATGRTGATTTAATCTTGACACAACAACTACTGGTATTGCACTATTGTGTGACATGTTTATTTTTTGAAAGTACAAGTCATCATAATCTTGTTTTATTCCTTTTCTTTTGTACAGAGCAATTTCTAAGTGCAGTAGAAGATTTCCTAAAATGTTTGGATATACAGAAAGAGTTGCTTTCTCCTGATGACAGACTTTTAGCAGAAACGTATCCTTTATCACGTGACATTCATGAGATCCAGCTGATTGGCACAGGAGGGTCCTTCTACCTTTCATTATAAATTCACCCCTCTCCCGGATGAACTAGATCTCACCCTTTAGTTCATGTACAGTAAGTTGTGTGTGTGCTTCTTCATCATGTTATTAATAGGAAACATTTATTTTCAATTTCCTTARCTTCACCCCAGAGCATACAACATTGGAYTGGCCTTCTCTTTCCAATCCATGTATGACAAGTCTAAAGATTATTATAGTCAAGCTCTAGAAACTATTAGTCTCAGAATAAAATCTCTTGAAGAAAGCATCAAAGAAGCTGAATCTAAAAGCAAAGGCAAAGACAAAGCAACACCTGACAATCCTTTAGTTGCTAATACCAAAGAACTGAAGGAATTACAGGAATTGTACCCAGAAATAAAACTGAAGGTAGATGAATTTATTAATTAAAAATACATGTAAATATTAGATGACATTATGAAATTATGGAATATGTGGGGAATGAACTTAGTGCATAGATACATGCTTACGACATAAACCGRAAGTAACTTGGGGATTGAGAAATATTCTTATTGAATTAAAGAACTGGCCCTAGAAAGGGGAATGGGGTCAAAGTGAGCAGGCAAAGAGGAAAGTAGGTAGCATGGCTGCACAATCTGACTGCTTTCTGCTCATGACTTAAGTCAGCTTTCATTTACCAGCTCTGTATGTGCTGGTAGTAGAGAATGGAATGCCACTGGCATTGCATCTTGCGGTGTGCCTAGTAGTAAAAATACTTGAAAATATTATTTTTGTTAAAATCATGCAGGTTGATGATGCAGAAGAAATGATAAAACAAGCAAAGGACAAGACAAGCATTAGTTCTGTCATGGTAAATATGGTGCCATTTCTGTGATTATATATAGTTGACTGATCAAGACATTGATTTTGAAAGGGTAATGGTAGTACAACTACTATTGGTTTTGGTGATTCCAGCAAAGACTGTAAACAGCAGGAGCAYACCACATTGGTAGGTTAAGGACATAATACTCATGAAAAACTAGTAWTGATCATTACTGAAATAATTTGATTTTCAACAGATTGCTACCAAGAAAAAACCAGTAGCGGCAACAGACATTTCCCATCTCGTACACAGGAATAAGGTGGGTTGTCGGTCAGTCCCTGGGGTTCAGGTATTTCCCAGTGGTAAGTTCATTTTGGCTTATTGTTCTTCCCCACTGGTATTATGGGTAGATGGGCAGAAAATCTAGACGTTGCAGTAAATGCTAAAGAGCTCCTGGCAAAGCCGGACCGAGTTAGCCGTCATACGAAAGCCCATACCCTTAAAACTATTATGTACAAAAATAAATCTGAAAACCTATCCTTTTTTCCAAGAACTGTAAAATTTTGGAACTCACTGCCTGAAAATGCTTTTTCGCCAGCCTCCAGCATTGAAGTTTTTAAAAAAAAGATCACAGAGTACATGTAATTTCCTGACCTCCCGGCCAATAATCCTCTGTTGAGGGGCGGCCGTATTGGAAAATAAATAAATAATAAATAAATAATTGGGGCAAGCCTCTTTGAAAAATGCATTACTATTCCCTGGGAATCTAAAGTGGGTGCCATTTTGTTTGAAATGGGATAAGTAGAATCATCCAATACTTTTCTATGCAGAGGAAACCAGAAGAGGCTGAAGACGATTCTACTGCTAAAAAACCTAGACAAGAMACAGAAGATGCAGAATCCAATGGAAAATCTGCAGAAACAACTAACAATAATGGTCAACCAGCTGCCATGGAGACATGAAAGAGTACATGTTAAAGGACTGTACATAGAACTTGAAGCTATCAAATCACTGCAATCATTTACAAGAGAACTTTCTATAAACATTAGATTACTTGAAATGTGAAATTCATTAAAATATTGAGCAAAAAGTTGTCATGATTAAAGTTTACATAAAAAATGTCTTTTATGGTTTTGTGTGAATGTTTTCTGAAGATCACTGCTCATGAGCACTGCAGCAAAGTGGCTGTAATGTGGAGCCATTTGCATCGTAAACTATGCCAGAAAAGAGTGGTTTTCACTGTAAACAGGCAAAAGGACAAACACTAACAACCCTACTATAAAAGCCCAAACCTATTGAAGGTAATAACAATATTACAATTGTGTTGTTTTTGAGAATGTTGTTTTAAATTAATTACATATTTTTGGATAATTTCACTACATAATCAAAGAACACAGCCAGACCATCAAAACATGACAAGGATACTAAGGTGAAACGGATATGCATCGAGGTAGAGTGATCGCACTTAATCCTTGCAACTGTACAAACTAAATAATTCTTTTTAGTTCTAAGTTGTATTCAGTAAATCGTGCATGCGGTATGCAAATTAAATTGAATTAATACAAATGAAGCATTCAATACCGTCTTGCTTCAGGTCCACTTTTAGTACAAATTAGTACTATTTAGATTTTGTACAGTTGCACGCTTTAAGTGTGATCACTCTAACCCAAAAATATGACAGCTTTGTAAAAGGTGCTGTATGAAATGACTGAAGATGTCAATGTATTTGGGCTCTGGAGCTTTATTGACAATTAAGAATTCATAAGAGCTCAACTTACAAGTCAACAYGGCAGATAAACGTTTGGAATTTAGAATATAGAATCTGCACTCAACATGGCCCTTACGAGAATGGAGATTTGTAAAGAATATAAATTACAAGTAAAACATTTACATACCAACTCTTAAAAATTCTTACTTATTTTCTTTGCTAAAATCTATTATAATGCTACTATTTTTAAGAATCGTTTTCATATAAATAAAATGTTTTTTCTTAACTCTGGACCCACTTGTCCAACTTTTTAGAGCCTAGTTATGGGTCAGATGGGGCCATGCCCATCCTGGTTACGAAACGATAAGTTATTCGGCCCCGGAGGCTGATGAATGTCATATATTAAGATCAAATACTTGTGCTGTACAATCTAAATAGGGCATTACACCATATCCACAGCAAAGATCCAGCTTTTAGAAATCTGCAAATTCCTTTGCACACTTCTCAGTTCCAGAAATGTGAAGAGGCTCTTCTTCGTAATCATCAAAGTTACTTGGGTCACCAGGTCCTTTACACTTGGGAATAAATGGAGCTTCCAACTACAATTAAACAAATTATCAACTTGTATTATTTACATTTAATAATATTCAGGTGTTAGGAGACTCATAGTGTTTGATATGAAAGTATGCATATCACTCTACACAAAAGAAATAATCAATTTTCAAAACATACTTTTCTGTAGTAGAGATTGAGCCATTCGTATGACTGGCCAAACCACCTGTGGAATCTAATATCTTCAACACCATTTTTTAAGTTTCCATAACGCTTTGTCAAATCAACTTGAAGTAGATTGCGAAGAAGATCCTTGAGATCACTTGTAAAATGTGATGGAAATCGAACCTAAAATCGAACAATAAAATAATTATAGTCAGTATATCTATTAAAGTGTAATATAAAAACATTTCATACACAATATATGCATCAGTTTATGTTATTTGTCAATGAAAAGCAGCACTGACAAAAGATCCCTGAAAACCTATACTTGAACAATTTAAAGATCAAATCACAAAAGGTCAAACATCTAGCAAATGCATAATATTTACACAATCTGGGACTAAAATCTGGAATAGTAATATTAACAATCGCTGCATCTCTCTGATGTAATGTATCAGTTAAGAAAAAACACTCACCTTTCCAGAAACAATCTTTTCATAGATCTGAATAGGTTGATCTGCAAAAAATGGTGGATAGCCTGCTGCCATTTCATAAATCAATACTCCAAGAGCCCACCAGTCAACAGCTTTGTTATAGCCCTATTAAAAAAAGAGACATACATCAGCTTAAAGACATTGTACATGTTATAACAAACTCTAAACAATCATTTCTTTACAAAATATAACTTTGTAGTAATTCTAAAAGAACATACTATTAATAATATATGCTTGTATTTTTCTAATATAATATCATCACAAAACATACTTTGCTTAGAATAATCTCAGGTGCAAGGTATTCAGGAGTTCCACAGAGAGTCCATGTTCTTCCTTTAACTCTTTTTGCAAAACCAAAATCTGTAACTTTCAGGTATCCTTTGTCATCGATCAGCAAGTTCTCAGGTTTCAAATCCCTTTTATGAAATGGAAATGTTAATACCGGTCTATATATTCACTTGTCTTATGCACTAAACTTTGGACTATTACAAATCTGGCATTCTGATTGCAGAACTATGGTATATTCATGAATGGAGCAAAAATAGTTGAAAAAATGCTGGGAAAAATCATAATTTAAGGTCTTATGTCAACTGGTTTGCCATATAATTTGGTGGATGCTAAAATACTTAAGGACCACAAGGTATTTTGGACTACAAGTAGTCTATTGGGTCAATCACAGCCTCATGGACTATCAACTGGTAGTCCACTTGACCCCATAGTCTAATTACTTTAAATACACCTAGAATCACTATATATCCACATTATAATAGTACAAGGTTCTACCTGTATATGAGATCAAGATTGTGAAGATATTCAAAAGCCAGAACAATCTGTGCAGCATAGAATCTTGAATGTGTTTCACTGAAAGAAGCATTTGTCATCTTATTAGATCAATGAGTGTGATTCAATGATCATGAAATAGTAGCTAATAGATCATGGTATTTTTGTCTGCTCAAATATAAGAATGACTGTTACTGCAAGTATCTACCTGAATCTCCCAATACGTCTGAGGTGTGAAAACATTTCTCCACCAGGTACAAATTCCAGGACCATGTACAAGTTTGAATTATCCTACAGAAATAAGGGCATCTTTGTTACATACATGTATAAAAACCTTATTCATATTGCATTTTGCTGTTTAGATTAGATGTAATGTAATATAAAGTAAGTCTGGGGTTGTTTATTGAATCTTACAATACCTCCACCAGCAAGAGCATAGAGGGGTTATAAAGAGTAATGTATGTTTACTTTCAAACATAAACAAAAGGGGGTTATGCTTGAATGATACTGTAAGTTCTTTGTCTTATTGCATTAATGTCTATGGTAATTTGTAAACTCTCTCTCCTTGATATATTCTTATATCTCCATAGATGTTTATATAATATTCTAATATCAATAATATTAATGTCATAGAAATCAATGCAATGAGACAAAGAACTCATTTTAGTGAATCAYAATACCCAAATTTTGTTGCAATAATTTTTGTCATTCTAAACAATAATCTTGAATTACAGATTGCTATTTTTTTCTTTTCTATATTTTTCCTCCACACTCTTCACATTGACATGTAAGGTACAAATACACCCTTCATACAAAAAGTGAGTTGACCAAAACAAAAACCAGCAATATAGTGTGTTCTATGAATTGACTACTATTTTCAAACATAACATACTAATAAATCTATTTCTATGAAATTTTAAGGGGGTGATGATGACTCAACATCAGTAACCATGGTTTTGTGCATATCAAACAATAAAGTATCATTTCCATTGATGCTCTTTTGAACAACTCCAACATKGTTTTGAACAACTGCAGAACTTCTGAATATTGTCACATAATCGTAGTCATTCAACCATTGCAAGGAAAGTTCTAGTCATGCGATTACTCACACACAAACGCATATACATAGTATGTGGGCTTGAGAACAACAAGACAAACATAACTTTGTGCTACTACATATCATCAATTATTTGTCCTAAAAATTAAAAAAAATACTGCCTCTCTTCAAAGATATAGTTTTTCAGGAAAAAAAATTCGCCTTGTTACTCTTCAAACTGTCTGCAACAACGAACCACTTTTTGTCAATAACAAATCCATACTTGAGCTTAAACAATTTTGACAGAAAGAATACCACAAACTCTTCAGGAAAAAAATGACTGTTGTGGAATTATTAGAGCTTTATATAGTTGAACCAACGATATAACTCGAATGTTTTACAACACACATTGCCAGAACATTTCAGCCATGTTACATATCAAATGCCTTTTTGTACGTTTTGAGAGTGAAATTCATTCACTTTGAAAAACTCACCTTGAAATGCCATTCAAGATTTACGAGAAACGGAAAACTGATAGCTTGGAGGATTTTCTTTTCATTCAAGGTATGCTCAACTTGTTTCAACTTGACTACCTGTGGCCCAGAATAAGAAAACATATTGTGAGTCGACAGACTTGCACCTGTACTCTAGATACTCCACGGTTCAGTGGCTTCTACGTCGAGTCGACCAACAAAACATTTGATGAATGCCCGGTTATGCATCGCTGAAGAAAACCCAAAATAGACACGAAAATTTAAATTGCTCAAATTATATTTTTCTCCTTTCCAAGCCAAACCTATTCACTAASTTTTGCTCTAATCATGACGAGTAATTCAGATTTTTGTTAACATTTCTGGAGAAGGAAAATTTGGTTTGTTTATGTGTTGCGCGAAATCGACCAGCTTCAGTGAAATCTACTAACTTGATCATAAAACCATAGGTTTTGAAAGCCTTACATGCAACTAAGTTAGCATGCTCGTCGGACTAATATCGGAAGTGACATTTCCCAGAGTATCTCAAATAAACACTGTTCCAGTGACCAGCATTATAAACAAAATCCTCGCTACCCAAGTTTAWGATGTRTGGACGAACATTCAAACCGGAGCTTCGCCCGCTCGGTTGTCTTACCTTCTGCTTGTCTAAAATTTTCATAGCGAAGTATCTTTTGCTATCTTTATGTTGTACAAGCATTACCCGACCAAATGATCCAGTTCCCAGTGTTTTCAAGCGATCGAATTCTTCTAAACTTGCTGTATTCTGCAACAAATACACAATGACAACAGTGAATCGCAAGGACCAAAAGTAATCGCCTAAACATGGCCTCTTGGGAATTTTTATCGCACGAAGAACTACAATAGCACAACCAGATATACATACAACAAATTTATGGCGTTGTAATATGATCCAAAGGTAAAAACAGCTATGAAAGTCATTTAGCAACCACTTCTCGAACAAAGCTATCAGCCTATGAATACATTTTGTCGAGCAAACCTCCCTCWGCCCTGGTTTGTTTGAGCGAGCAACAACCCTGTAATTCATAAAGATGCGATTGACTTACGTGCTCTGGTTTTTCCCATTTTTCGTTGAACTCGTTTTTGAGCTCGTGCATATGCTCGCCTGTAAAAAAAACCCAAAACAAAAGATGAGCTTTTTACGGCCAAATCGAAAAGCACATACGCTACTCCTGTAGATTTCTAATTCTCCTTTACCTATATTTGATTCGCCCTTCTTTCCCCTTTCATTTGTGTTGCCCATGGCTTCAAGGGCTTGCGAAACTGTAGTTCAATATTTTTAGACCTGTCCAATGAGTTCAAATGCAATGTAGACCAAATCTTTTCAATGCCGTAAAAATAATYCTTGATTTTCGCGTGCCCCTTTTTTCGCAGCCGTGTTGGTATCAAAGCACCAGACTTGCTTCACCGTCTCCGAATAGCAAACACATACGGCCCACTGACGTCAAGCTTATTCGCAAACCGATTGGTTGCCGAAGTGGAACCACAAGAGTACATTTCCTTATATAGCAGCTTTCGCTGCGACAGCTGAGAACCGACTTACCGACAATAACACGGCGAAAAGCCGATTAAAACAAGCAAAAACAACACTTGTGATCTTTTCCAATTGTTGCTAGCAATAACACAAAAGGTGTAGTAATTTTTTTATATCTTTTTTATGTGGAAATATCCACTGTAATTGATGCTATAGATTCGAAAGAGCTTTTTTTAATATCATGGAGATTGAAGTTGTTTCCCTTTTTTTCTAGGCATGTTTGCCTTGAAATTTGAAATAAAAAGGAAGCCAAAACGTGATGAATACCAGATGAATATAATACATACTATTGAGACACAATAATAATAYCATTTACATAAATTAAAAAATATTCCATTTAATCTTTCGAAATAAAACAAACAAATTATGTCTAATTGTATATAAATGCTGTTAATGTATTAATAGAAAATAAACACCACATCATAAATAAAAAACTAAAAGCTAAAAATGGAATCAGAAAAAAAAAGAAAGTCACTCAAGCTAACCAATCACTTTTCTTTTAATTAATTTCTTGTTTTGTAATTTGTTTTTGGAATATATTTATTGTTATTTTTATATGACAATGTTCTGGCAATTGGGTGAATATCCCAGCTAAGAGTACTATAAACTATGAAGTGCCTGATGAAAAATCTAAATGTGTCCATGTGTTTTAATTTTACACACTTGTGACGTTGAATACAAATGATCAGTGGAAATCGTGCATAATTAAGAATACCTACAGTAGATRAAATCCACAGAAGAATTTAACATAACACATGGTGCTTATTGCAAGGTTTCTTACAATACACAATCATGGAGCTTTTATGCAAATACTGCTAAATTGGTATAGCAACCACAAATGATTGGCTGAATTTAAGGTCTATGATTATTGGAGAAACTTTTTAAAGAAACTTTCATTTCATTATTCAAATCACCTATGTTTAATTATTYGCAGCATTTTGACTTCACATCTGAGATCATACAATCTGAAWTTTTTATTCCAAAAGCTTTTGCATAGGTTAGTAGGAATGCGCTACATTAGACTTGTTTGTCTTTATTGAGCTTTGATAGCATGGGACTCCTGGCCTATGAACTTTGGGTCACTGATTTCTATCCACAACACTTTTGAATATTACCATTTTYTTTGTGATTCAATATAACAAGCAACTGCTTGGCTCTTGCATAGATGAATTCTTAAAACATGATCTTATGGYAAATGAGAAGTCTGTTAGCAAAACAAAAAATTCTTTTTTGTTGCAAATATTAAAATGATTGCACTGCAGCCAGAAATGATTTAAATAGAAAACAATGTAAAAGTCACACAGTGTGGTATTTAAAACAAGCCTATCATACAAAATGAGACTGAAACGATCCATTGGTCAATCATAACTAGCATACATGTATATCAGTTTGATGCAAGCAAAAGAAAATTAGAAATAATTCATTGTGAGCACCAGAATTTCCAGAAAGTCAAAGTTTATTTTTTCAAGCTAGGGACTCATTTGTAGTTTTCAGTGTAACATAATGTGAAGAGGATTGATGAAACACTCTTTGAATACAGTGAGATTATATTTCGTATGTTCATAACAAATCATTTCCTTTGGCATCATAAAATCCTATTCTCTCCAGAAATAACAAGAAATMATCATGCAGAATCATAAAACACACTACTGTTTTGACTATAATAATAGTTGTTTCATTATTAGACATTTTTAGCAGTTAGGTTCCATCCCAGTTTACTTCACTTCCTCCTTTTGATGGGAGAGAACAGAATGGCTAAAAGTGTCTGCTTCAGTGACTACACTAAAATTGTAATAATTAGACAAGGATATTATATACAATTTGACAGTTAACTGGATATTAATATTGAAGTGAGCCATCAGTTCATATACTATCACACTTTGTTGCTGAATATAACATTATCACCTATACGTTAGATTTCAGTTTTTCTTGATGTCAATATGAACTGGCATAAAATTTATTCTGGAGTAAAATTACATCAAACTTATTAACTGCATTTTTTGCATTCAAAGACATACAAAAATACATTTACAAGGCTTTTGCCCTAAGGAAATCATGACYAGACATCATCATTGGAGATTGTAATGACTTACGTTACAAGGTATTAATGATACATGATGCAAAAAAAACTATTTTGTCAATTTCAGTGSGTGGAAACTTTAGTATTTCAGGAAAAAATAAATAAAACGAAGAACATGGGACATTCTAGCAGCTATCATTATTTAAGAGACCTGCACATTTATGGTAATATTGATATTCAAATTGACATCATTTGTCATGTTTTGTTGAAAATAAATCATTTCTTATCGTCAGAGGTCAGTGACCGTGATAAAAATAACAAAATKAAAAAAATCCAAAATAGCGCACAAGAACGACGAAATTACAATAGCATCATCTTAAAAACAATTCCTCTRGCTTCAAAAACATACACAATATTAGAACTCTAACAAAACCTGATTTTCATGATCAAAACGTTCTGGACCAGAAACTGCATCTCTGTAGAAAGTTGATATGGAAAAGCAACAGTGTATAATTTCGAAAGTTTAGATACAGTATCATGATCACGAAACTATTACCTCTTTATATATAGATCTTACTAGCAATACATTTGTCTTTCGCAAATTGCAGAGTTTAATGAAAAACGACTGGATCTCAGCATGCCATGGCCAGTCGAATCGCACGATTTGACGAAAACAAAAGGTAAACTTGACTTTTGTAAAAACACAGCTGTGTGAAGGAATGGTGTCTGCAAACTAGTTTACGACTTAGATTTTCAAAACAGCACATCAACCTATAATTACGCTTAATTTATARGGAAAAATGATGCCAACGGGATTAACTCTTAGGAATTTGTGCTCAATATTGAATTTGAAATTAGGTAAAACAAATTAGTAACGCATTTACAAAGAGATTATGCAGTTAAAGCAAAACTTGCCTGGTGTTGCTCAACATTTTCTGAAGTAAGAAGGTCAAACACCCAAGAAATATCACTAAAAACACAGGCGCTTTGATTTTAAACCATGAATAAACTTAACTCCATTAGTTCTAATGTGGAAATCCATGCCATAAAGCAATTCAAACAATTGTTTGACGTCAAGAGAAGGGCAATGGAAAGTGAAGGTCGATCTGTGTACCGTTCAAACGGCAAAACACGCCATATTTCCATGTCGTTTAGGAGACTTTTCAAAGTTCATTGTGTTAAAATAAAGCTCTCAAACTAACTGGACGTCAATAAGATATCAATTCTACTTACTTATCGGATCTTTCTTCGAGCTTTTCTTCATCGTTACTCCGTATCCAAGGAAGCAAAGAGCAATCGACTGAGTATTGGAATCTGCAACGATAACCGAGCAAACAACTCACTCTAAGCACAAAGACAACGTAAAATAACTCAAAACAATACAACTGCCTGCAGAAATGAAGAAAAACATTTTAGTTTTAGAATAGAAAATCATATTGAAAGCAGACTGAGAGTTTTACTCGATCTAGTAGTTTAGTGATTTACCTTTTGGATCGTAAACGAGGTGCGACAGAAATCAAGCACTCTTCAAATCGACTTGACTGGCCCGTGGAATTGCTCTGACAGTTCAGAATAACTTAAGGCGATACATGCAACAACCAGTCTAGTATCTACGTTCTGCACGACTCACTTTAAGGAAAATTGTGTCAGTAAATAATGGGTAATAATATCCTCCTTTAGGCCGTTGTGTATTGGCCCTTGCATGGGTAGTGTGCAAGCTGAATAGTAACGCGTGGTGTTGCGTGATATATGCAAGGCGGAAGGCTTTGATGTTGTGTGACAGTTTTCCATGTCACTTGAAAACTGTGTGCTAAACCACGAAGAAACAAAAACAGACTCTTCCTGAAAACTGTCTACAATTCTTCTTCACTTAGCAAGGTTTTATGCAATAAGAATTTCGGATTTTCGCAAACATCGGTAACCTTCTTTATGTTATAAGCCAATTTTCACCATAGTTAATATTAACTATGCTTTCACTACTAATGAACTAAACAATAATTCATCAAAAGTTGTGAATTTTGATACAAAAATCTCTAACTGTTGAAGTATCAGGTATTTAGATTAACTTAGACGGTAGATGACGTTTCTGTATCAAAAGTTTGAACAGTTTTCCAGTATTGAAACTTTGATTTGTATTCAAACTGTCAAAAGAGCGTCGGAGAGAAGGATCCCTGAATGCACTTTCATTCGTTTTTACCTTTAAGACAACCTACATTACGTGCACTCTCCAAAAGAAACCTTAACCYAACTCTTAAAAAATACAAAAAAAATCTTAACCCGTGGTCGTTACGTCATCTTATATCAAATGTTGCTTACATAATTCCTTTAAATTCCAGGATCTCATCCTCATCAGAGAAACACAGGCTATTTATAATCGTAACTCATGGAGTGTTGAATTTACTACACTATACTAAGTAGTTTGACGTGTCGTTTTAACTTTTTTTAAGACTTGCCGAAACAATGATGTAAGCATCTATTTTGAAATTCACCCAGAATACCTTGCGCCTTTGAATTCAAAATGGCGGACTGTTTTCATACTTTACAAGCTTAGGAATAAATTCACTGAATTGTCGTCCAGAATTACTTATCCAAAGTCCTTACCAAATCAAAACATACTTCCCAATATCTGCTCTCATCATGTCTACGTTTGTTCCTTACTAATCGATCGAAATCGTTTGGATTGGATTTTAAAAGTTTGGTTGTCACATCTCTCTGTAAGTGCGTGATTGTTTTGATGAGTGAAATCAAGATCATGAAAAGCAATTTAGCTTGCTGTTCAGTGGATATTTAATTTGGATGCAAAGAATGYTGTGGATATGAATTGATCACTATAATTAATCGGTAAGTACTAAGTACTATATTATTTTAAAAGATGACTAAGCTTTTAATTTTATAAGCTTATATTTCTCTAAATCTACAGCAGATCTGCTGTAGATTTAGTCTAACCTTGAGTCAAAAACAGTCGAGTTAAGTTTAAAGTATAAAATAATAGTATGTGGTGTTACGATGGCCTATTCAGTATAATCTTTTTGTCATGTAAGATACTTAAAATGCAATTTTATGTACAAAATATTATTGAGATAGAACAATCAAGAAATGGTATGAATTGTCAAAAGAAAAGGGTTTTCTAAAATATATCATGGCCATGTCATAATAAGTATATATATATAGGATATTACATGGGCGCGTGGAGATATGGATTTTATCTTCGAGTGTTGAAAAGATCAACACTCAGATTTTCAAAACGAGAAGATAAAATTTGTATCTCCAAGCGACCATGTGATATTCTGTTTATCATATAATTACATATGAAAGCAAATTATMTCATAAAATACCTTTTTTTTCTTACTTCCACTATATAGAGAAACTTCAAATGTGTTTTTTATATTTTCACTAGTGAAAGTATCAATTTTAYGAAATGGAGAAATATAGGTATTTCATAGATATTTATATGATGAAACATAATATTACAATGTTCAATCAATTTCYACAGCAAGGATGAGCAGCACATTTATCCCAGTTGATTTGGATCAAGTCTTAGATGAATTTGAAGAACAAGAAAGGAATCACGACATACCTACCTTAAGTAGACCTAATTCACTGGATCTTCCAAATAGTTATCAAGAGTTGAAGCCTCATTCAATCAGTGATCCAAGAACATACTCATTTAACAGTCCTTTAGATGCTATTTTACAAGAACAGTCAAGCAACATAAACAACACACCTGGCAAAAGCCTTGCACAAGAAATTGCTGATCTTGATATTAAATCCAAATCCAAAAATATTGATGATGATGATGATTACGATGATGACTATGCTAATGATGGTGGAAGTGATGCTAGTAGCACAACTGCAGTAATTGCAGCAGCAGAGAAGATAACTAGAGAAAGTGATTTTATTGTAGATCAGTCAACATCTGGTGGTCTAGACACCAATAATTTGAATATAAAAAATGACGTAATAGATGAGGGAAATTTTGATTGCCTAGCTTCAAAGAAAGAAACTCCTGATGAAACTGATTTCCTCTCACTCTTAAATTCTGTTGTTGGTGAAAGTCCTTTCTGCCTCGAAGACACAAGAACAACATGTGATAACAATAAAGGTTTGTCAACTGAGGTGCTCCAGGATAATRTAAAACATTCCCCAAATGTGGAAAGTGGTGTTGACATAGATGTGTCCAATAATACTAGTGCTTGTCCAACACAGAAATACAAAGATGATTCTTTAGTGAATTTCGATAATGAATTGAATGAAAATATGAAATGCTGTGGTGAGAATATTAATGTTGAATCCAATGAATTTGTACATAGTTATCATAACAGTGTGAGTCAAATTGAAAATGACACATGTGAGAGCTTAGATTCAAGGGAATCTGAGGCCTCTTTACGAGTGGATCCTACATGTCCCATTTCAGAAGATACACAAGCTGAGACATGTAACATAAATGAAATGTTATCATTGCCAAATGTCTGTGATCATCAAGAAGAACAGGGTTTGAATTTCAACAGTAACATAAACAATACATCACATGAATGCATCTCAACTGCAGAGGATGATAGCATTTTACTTCAAGTAGGAAATAGCAATTTGGATTTTGCTGATCAACAAGYAGACTTTATTGATGGAAGCGTAGATACAAATGATGCTGTTTCTGATAATATATGTGTTGGAAATGAAATCAGTTCTTTGGATAACGGCTTAGTTCCTTCCTCTCAACCCAGCATAGACTTGACATCAGCAGAGCATGATGACTTGAATGGGACTGCACCACGCAGTAATGATGTTCCTTTAGTAGAAAACCAAATGACATCTACGACAGCTGATAGTAGTTCAGCTGATAGCCTATGTGGTAACGTTGAAGCAAGTAGAAGTGATGACTTGCTATCCATGGCAATTGAAGGTAAAATCAAAGCAGACAGTAAATGTATTTATTAAATACACTATACATGCAATATATGACTCCTCAGCTTGTAGGTATGCAGCTTTTACAATATAGTATTTGATATTGCAATATTGTGYAGAACTTACGTTTACTTTGTATTTGTTAACAATTTGTCTGTTTCTTCAAGATAACGATCAATCGTCACCAGTAAGAGCTATATCACCAGAACCCCAATTAGAAGAGGGTATTTTACCAGTACATATCAGCAGTGGAGACCCAGAGATGGGTTTTGTACCWCCAATATGGGTACCTGATGAGGTTGCCACACATTGCATGACATGTGGTCTAAAATTCTCCATGATTAAAAGAAAGCATCACTGCAGAGCTTGTGGAAGGGTAAATCAAAGCACATTGATATCATTGTAATTCTCCAATGTGGCCAAATTATTCAACTCTTCATTTATGTGCCTATTAGGTCCTTTGCTCCTCATGCTGTAACATGAAGTTCCCTTTGCCATATTTGGGTAACAAGGATGCAAGRGTATGCCAAGTATGCTGTGATATACTAATACAAGGAAATCAACAACAATTAACACAAGGTTTGTAGGCTTCKAAAYCRTGAAGGAGGAGACTTCAAGTTGATTGTTACTGCCACTTGRAGCGCCTAGCTACAATCTCCTTYAAAATAAAATGAGTCACGTCGATTTCTTACYGCTTTAGTTCCCTCCCCTCCAGTCAATGTTGAATCCACGCTACAAAAAGTTCCCATTTCCTGGGAATACTTAGCGAAGCCATCCTCTCAACTTTGTATCAGGGGCAGGGAGCAAGCAACACATTTATTTTGCRGAAGATTGTAGCTTTCTTGCCCTTGTGGAGCCCTCCTAATACTGGGAGAGGCCTGAGAAWTCTGCCCCCACTTTCACAGATAACGCTATCATGGTGGACAAAAGATAACCATCTATGAACATCAGTAAATAATCTAAATATTTAACAATTAGACCTYGAGGTTGAGTGGACTACGAGCTAATAGCCCATGAGGCCGAGTCTGCGGGGCCGAATGGGCTATAATTAACTCGCAGTCCACGAGGCTGAGAGGTCTAATTGTTTCAGTATAAACATACTAATCGGTCAAATAATGAAAACAAATTGATATTTCCTTAAAATATTTTATTAATAAGATGCCGCCATTTTGATTTTCCCGCGAGTGGTCTATCATAAATTAGACCATTAGTAGAGTTATCAATCACAGCGCAGTATGAGTGATAGATCATTAGTATGTTTATACTAAATAGTTGTAATAGTTACATGTAGTTATAGTAATTATAATGTTAATGATCATCAAATGGAATTGCACAGATGTAAGGCAARGTATAAGAAGGTCAATGTTTGCACTCATTTTAAAGATATTACAGAAGAGATAACAATAGATAATCAAGATGGTTGGCAGAACCCTGATATTCCAAGCAACTCTGAAGACGTTTCTGTAGAGAGTAGTTCTGTAGAGAATGGGCTTTCTTCAACTGAGCCACCTGGAAATARCGAGCAAGATGTATTGGAATCTGCAGATGACTTAGATGAGAGTCAGCTTAATGGTGAAGTGGATAATGAAGATATTACAGAAGGTAATTAAAAAATCCTCAAGCAAATGTTATCAATATAATGATCATTGATTGTATATGTGAAGCAGGTCCTTCCAATGCAGCAGCTCCGCCAGTAYTAACACTCACAACYAATCCAGTATTGCCAACAAATGGATCATCAGCATCTTTGATGTCAGCACCTTTGTCACCAGCTCTGAGTGATGACAGTGATCTGTCATTTAGACTTGATGTTGAACATGTTAGAGCCATGATTCCACAAGACTTCTTCACTTTGCCACCTGTTTTAAACCTGAAAAACAAAGGTTTGTGAAATATTCTCACTTAGTTAAAATATAGTATCATAATGATTATGAAATCATGATTATTCTAGATATTAATCATCTTACAAGATAATTATGTTCAATCATTACCTTWACAGCTATTCAGATTCAGGAACATCCAGATCCTGCTGAAATTATGTATCGTCTGAAAGGTATTCAAGAYGCTGAATGTGACCTTCACTCACTCTAGATGATTTATACCATCCTGCACATTTTTCTGTTGTTCACAACCCTTTTTAACCTTTTAGGACTTTTATGGCACTTTCTTGGGTTTTAAAGTTGTTTGATTGGGTTAATTTCTGTGTGTTTTTTTGTTTGTTTGTTTTTAATAGGTCTTGGTGACACAGTTATCTTCTTGTTAAACAAGAATCTCATTGTTAAAGTGAAGATTGTCAAATGTAAGTGTAGACTGTTTCTATTCAAGGTTGTAGGAAGTCATGTATTATTGTTCAATAGCTTTATTTGAATACTATTTTTTTGTCAGTGAAGTGTTGTGTTAAGAAGAAGTGTTGGTGTTTTGTCACTGATGGAATGGGTGCWGCAAATCAAGAAGAAATGGTATGATTCTAAATGTCAGTTGTATCATCCTTCTTGCCAGCAATTGCATTCATGCAAAGCTGTAGTCCTTTTTGTACACGTATCAGTGACTCAAAACATAACTTACATTCCTAAAAGCACTATATTATACTTGGACTATCAATATGYGCATTTAATGCAGTGCAATTTACCTGATGTTTCTCTATCTCATTAGGTTGTTATTCTTGAATGTGAACACAGTGAGAATACTGTCCCTAAAGATGTGTTGTCTCATTTCAATACTGCTTTTAGTTATGCAAAACAGGGTATGGCATAATAAATATACAAGTTTTCTTTTGATTTAACTGCATTAAGTAAATACAACCATGTAAATGACTTTTTTATATTACATGTAATTATAGGGCATGTAGTCTCTGATCTTGGTTTTACCATATTTGGACAACCTTTTCTTGGGAGTTCAAATAATGCTGGATTTCTGTATATMAAACCTACTTTCCAGGTATGTCATTTTGATAGAGCACAATCCTTTATTTTTTTTTTCATTTATTCTTTCATTCATTTTTTTAATCCCATTTATCCTTCCTGTTTGCAGTTTTTTTTTTATTTTCCAAGCCCTTAATCATTGTTATTAGCTTATCTCTCCTGCTTCAATTCATTCAATATATTTTTACTGATAATAAGCATWTTCTATCAGTGCTTAGAAAATCTACCATTGCCAACCATACCATACGTAGTTGGTATACTGATACAAAGACAAGARGCTCCATGGGCCCAGCTATTCCCTATCAGGTTGATGTTACGACTAGGAACSGAGTTTAGATGTGAGTTTATAGTTCCTTATAGGGGTGAACTCTCCAAGGGAATTATTTACCTTTATGCACATTACATGCCATGCAAYAATAAGAGATCCATCCCAGCATAACTAAATCAATGATTATTATTGATTAATTGATTGATGATCTACAACTTTATGATAATTGTTTTATTTTGGACAATATTAGTCCAAAGAACACAGCAAATTTTGTATKCTCAGAATGACTTGCATTATTGAACTATTCTAGACTACCCCTGTCCTTTGTGGAGTGTGCGTAATAGACCATCAGTATATCATGAAGTTGGACATACAATAATGAACCTTCTTACTGTAAGTACTGGTCAGTATGTTGAAATCATACAATACACCAGTCAACATTCACAAAATGTTCAAAWATGTGGTTCCCTTTTTTGTACAAAGACTGGATATCCACCAGATAAACCCTAACCCTGTGGATATATTGCCATTTACCCTTCATATAATAATAATAATAATAACAACTAGCACCTGAGTAACAAACGTCCAACTTTAAAATAGTTAATTATTAAATTACATTGATTGAGGGTCTTCAGAATTACTGTTAACAAATATGTGATGGTGTGATATACAGGACTTTAAGAATTTCCAGTACAGTATTCCCCGCATCACAGGACTGGTTATTCACATGGAGAATACTAAGACAACAGTAAGATTGCCACAGGACAGATTTGATGAGGTACTAGTATTATTATCCTTCAGGTACAATGAATGTTGAGTATGTGTTGTCCATATCTTGTAGAGACACCATACATGTCTAGTCAAGTGAAGTGGTTTGTTTTGTGATGTTAGCAATYCTTTTAAGGGTTAAAAACTGTCTTCTGTAATCATAGATGGTGAAAGTGTTRAATGCTGCTGAAGARCACATGTTTGCATTTGGTGCCAACTTTAGCAGTGAAGCAGATTCTCATTTGGTTTGCATACAAGAAGGAGAAAGTTACAAAACACAGGCCATCAATATACAAAATGCAACTAGAAAAGGTATATTATTCTGGGAATGATGTGTCCATAATATTGCTGTATYTATAGTGTGACCAGTCTTTTAAACAATATCATTGTGGTTGAGCAGCTGAATATCTTTTATGTTCAATAATTGCTTTTAAATACTTTTAGTAACTGGGGCTAGTTTTGTTGTCTTTTCTGGATCTTTGAAGACCAGTAATCCTAATGATGCAAAAGTCAGCATCATTGAGGGTAAGTTAATTTTAAACAAGAAACTCATGATTTTAGCTGGTCATTGAGACAGTGTTGATTGTCATCTTTTTGGAGAAGGCAGTCAATATGTTACAATGTTATGATTTTGATACATAGAAATGATAACTACATGTGATAATGATAATCATTAACGATGTTGATGATRATATTTTTGACAAAGCGACAATCCAATTAACCATCATTCATTTCTTAGATGGTATTATGATACAAATGCTACCTGATTCTGTRCTCGAGCTCCGCAAAGCACTCCGYGAAATGCAAGATTACGTCATAACGACCGGRAGTAAYGCAACAGCTAACTCTGTCACTCAAGTAGACGTTGAATGGGTGTCAAGAGATTCTAACAAAGAAACGTAATTACACTTATAAATTTGCACCTTGCTAGTTACATGAAACACGCCTTTTTATCGATCGTTTGGCACACCTAGATTAAGGCCCTAAGCCATGTGGGATTGGTACAGAAATCACGCATGCTCTACATTATCGGCTCACTCTCGGCTGAGTAGTGAATGTTGCTTGCTTGCAAATGATATCTTGAACTCTTTTAAGACAGCAATTTGTCATAACGTTTATCATTCTTTTCCCACCGTAGGTATACTAGTCCTATCGATGGCCGGTCACTAACTGACGTTCCCAGTATTCAAGTGCACAGTAGCTSTGACTTCTCAAAGCGTGATATTTATCGAATAAGGTGGACAAACGTCTTCCTGGAGAGAAATGGATCTAGTTCGAGAGGTTTATCATCACGAGGACTAACACGGTTAACTGGCGAGCTGGCTCGTGCTTGTTGTGAAGCCCTCAGACCTTATTTACAAGGATTATTTGACATGAATTTGATTCGACTTTCCTTGAGAGTGAACATTGATGCTGATTCTGTAAGTATGCCTGTATTAAATCGGTTTTATGAGGGCTTTTAGACGTTATTTATTTAATTACTTATCCCTCTCTTTCATTCATGCACCCATTCCTATTCATTACGAACATAAGATAACGAACTAGCATTAGAAATATCCGCGTTAAACTCGCTGTCGCAAACACTCCTTATTATACTTAAATTAATCGTCGTTTCATAATTCCAGGTGGAATATAGTATCGGCGCAAACCAGAAACCACTACCCACCAACCTTATGGCTGACCTGGACAGCGCGCTGATTCCGTCAATCAACGCAGCAGCTATGAAACACCGTCGTGGTCCCTTGACTGTAGAACTGTTCTTTAGCGTCATATCCCTCTTTTAGAAAACCATCTTTTSTCACTTTTATTGACAGACATTTGCTAGGGACACAACAGTTCATTTGATCATGAAAGTTGCCAAACTTCGACAAACTACAAGTGTTGTCATTTTCTTTTTGTTGTTTTCTTTATGACAACAAGGGAAACAAATATTTTCCTTGCAAGTTGTGAAATTTGAATCAATCATTGACACTCGGAGTGTTTTAACAGAACAAGTTTCACACTGCACATCAAGTGCTGTATTTTAAAGGAMGTACATTTAACAAAAAACTTAACACCAAAGCAGCCCAAGGGTTTCTTTGAAAGGGTTTATAACACTAGTCAGCCTTCCGGTGTATATCATAACAAAAAACAATATCAATCACTATTATAACAACATTTTATCTCACATATTCAAAAACACATTTTTAATACTTTTTAAATATCCAATATATATCTACTTGTACATGCATTTAAAACATATAGAAACAGAGTGCAGGAACACTACAGACATTGTGAATTAATTGACTATATTTGACAATCTGTATGAATGGTTTCTAAGTAATGTTGCTTTACGATTACTGTATTTCATCAATGTATTGGCAGTATTAAATATGTTTGGTGAAATTTATTGTCAAGTGTGTTTTGTGTGCAAAAGAAGTTCGCAGCTCACTGCGCAGCGAAAAAGCGGCATGTTTTTGACTTTACGGGGCAYCGGGATGATTGCGCTCCGCGTCGGGCGGGTTCCTTTGGAAAATTTGGACTYATTTTCTTGTCGCAATTTGAATGAATAACATGTTTTGTCGGATATTTTGTGACGCTCTCAAACTTTTCTGATGCATAGTTTAAAAATTTTGCTGGAATTAAAGAAAACCTTATTCCAGTTTTAATGAACGGTTTAACGATGTTAAAATGGTGGAAACTATCGGTAAACTAGTATGAGAGCTGCGTCGGTGTTTCTAAAGAAACACTGCATGAACAAAGTGTAAAAAGATAAATTTAAAACAGTAAAAAAGTAAGAGAAAGGCAGCTTACTACTGCTAAAGTTGTTTCTCATACTTTTTTACGATATTAAATTTATCTTTTTACACAACTGTTAACGATGTTAACCTTTTGTAACTGCTCATCCTAACAATGCGATCCAATACTAAAACGAGCCGCTGTCTTTTGTTAGCCCGCGCGCACTGTATGTTTTTCGCCGCGAAGCTCCGCCTTTTAATTTTCTCGCTACAAAGTTTGCATTTAGAACTGAAAAAAGCACACTATATGAGAATGTCTTGATAAAACGTCCCAGTGAGTTGTCCTAGTAATTTGAAGTCACTTCTAAACCAAAATGGTACAATGCATACACATCAAAGTAAAGCGCTTGTGCCGCACATGGCTTCAACCGCTGACTAGAGAAGCGTACTGCGGCCTGCGGCATATCTAAGACTACRCCTAGTGTCGCCGCGCGTTCTTAGTTACCGCTTAGCGGTTCTTTTGACATACCCGTATATATATCGGACATCGTAGCATCGTTCATCATTCATACTCAGGACTTCAAGTAGTGAACATGATGTCTGTCTTAGCTCAACGAAAGATTTCCTTCCTAATTGATGATCTTCTACGAGATACCGCTSAGCAGGAGAATAAGCTGCCCGCTGACACGCCCGCAGTTGTAACCACTGGGTTTCCACGATATTGCTTCCCTCCAAAGAACTTGAGTCGCTGTGAGTCTGCACTTGAATCATCGAGAGGTTGGTACAATATACATATCGGTTTACTGCGGAAAATTCAATTTCGACTTTGCTATGATTTGCGCAGTTGCAGAATGAAAACCCTTGAGAAATGTATGAATGAATGCACAGTGGATGATGTATTTACAGAGCTTGACCTTGATTTCTGTTTATTTTTAGATGAAGATCCACTGAGTCGAATGGATTCCGTTAGTTCTTCACCTGACAGCGATACCGAGTCTTCTAAAGGTGAGTTTTCAATACTTCGTCATACTTAGATACTGAAAAGCACTCAATATTCTGTTGAAGTACCATGTTGGTTGAAATGTTCGTAAACGAAATAAAGATTTCTATATTTGGCCTGTGACTTCCATATTTAGTGATGTTAATTATTTCTCGCACTTGTCTCTTGTATTTCACTATATATACCGAGCAAAAGTTACATTCTTTCGCCTGTCATGCCGTGCACTTTATGTTGTTTAATTTTGAGTGTTCATCTAATGACATGTTTTGCTTCGATTTCAGATTCGTCCGAACCGTCAGACAATTGCGACAACACTAACAACGGCAACAAATCTCGCCCATCCTTCTCATCCCATCAAGTTGACACGCTCAAGTCCATCTTCGCCTACAAACACTACCTCGGCAAAGCCGAACGTAAGAAGTTAGCCGCTGACCTCAACATGACTGACGAGCAAGTGAAGACCTGGTTTCAGAACAAGAGAACCAAGCTGAAGAAAAAGATGTTTGCTCAAGTTGACGAGCACTACGCAAAGATGCTGTATTTTAGAGACCTCGTTAGTAGTATGCCACCAGAACATCAACGAGAGTTTGGTTTCCATAGTTATCCTGAGTATCCTGGCCTTAGTGGTATGCCAATTCCATCTCCTGATAGAACAGTTCCCAGTGGCATGGCTTATTATTCATATTAAATGTAAAATGATTGAGATTAAAGATGTAATGATTTGTTAAAGTGTTAATAAAATATTGTACAGAAGAATTGTTTTTGTTTGAGACCTTGAGTTGGACAGGGGGGGTATAGCAATGTTGGATTACAGCRTACATTCAATCATTCAATTCCTTTTGTCTTTAATTGCTAAGTTTGTAAAGACATTGAAAAAGCAAAGTGTTTCAGAAATATCAAAATCTAATGAATACATGTTTATTTACATATTTGATTGAAAGCCCTTTCAAAAACACAAATCAARAAGAACTAGTTCTGATCTAGTTACAAATGTCCCTTTTCTTGAAGCTGCAATCTTTGTTTCTCTCTTACTCGGCTCATAAAACTAAATTGAAAAAAAAGCAAGATCRGATGAGCTTTAGAATTCACTGAAATTGTTTAGGTTGCAGTATTCAAACACAGAAAGCAATATAAGGAAAGAGTCAACA